GGCAGCTCAAACGGCTCCGTCTCAGTTCAGAAGTACTTGATACAAAACTATGGCAGTGCCTTAGTGAGCCTTCTAGAGAAATTATGTTGTGGCCGAATAAGGCCCACCTTTACTGAAGTTCCCAATAATCCATTGTAGCTCAAACAATTCAATGTAATTATTTACTTCAGGGCAATTACAATGACACTTTGTGTTCCCTGCAGTGTCAGCTTTACAGAAACTCTGGAAAATAGTTTGCTGCCTAAAGCGTTCATTACCTACAAACATTTTCAGTGAGGAGAATTTGTGTTAGCTGACCTGAAGAAACAACTTCACTAGGGATTGTGAGCATGTTTGAGAGATAAAAACAACACAAATGTGGCCAGAAAAGTCCTACCTTTACAGAGGTGCGTGACAAACGATTCCAGCTCAAGCCAAATCTTTTCATCCATGTCTTGTTTAAGATTTGCTCGGTCCTGTCTGACTGTGTGCTTCCAACAGTTCCTCGTTAGTATAGTGGTGAGTATCCCCGCCTGTCACGCGGGAGACCGGGTTCAATTCCCGACGGGGAGGTTGCTGCCTTTTTTGCAAGCCTTAACTCAGAATGCCTGCTTCAGTCTAGTATGTGTCTTTTCATTTTTGACAGCATCTGCCGAGGATTTTCCGGAAACGCACCGTTTTCTTGCCAGCTCGCGCATTGGTGGTTCAGTGGTAGAATTCTCGCCTGCCATGGGGAGGCCCGGGTTCGATTCCCGGCCAATGCAATGGACAACAGACTATTTTACTGAGATAATTTGGATTGTTTTTGATACGTGGAAAGTAAAACAAAGTCATATTTGAGTCAATAGGCAGTTTAAACATTTACAGTACACAGAATTTAAAATGGCCTTTAACTGCCTCAAATTGAAATGGAATATAAGGCAAAAGATCCTTTGGGTCTGGCAGTGAAAACGCAACGTGGCATAAAGCATTATCTTTTTTTGTGACATGTGTTGATCAATTGGGCTTGAAGTACAAATCCTATTCAAACTAGTCTATTGTGCTTCCAGAGCATTCCACTTCAAAAGCAACGACAGTTCAATGTGTATGGGTATGACATGAATAAAGTGACCTGGCAAGATCAATGGCAGCTCAAACGGCTCCGTCTCAGTTCAGAAGTACTTGATACAAAACTATGGCAGTGCCTTGTGAGCCTTCTAGAGAAATTATGTTGTGGCCGAATAAGGCCCACCTTTACTGAAGTTCGCAATAATCCATTGTAGCTCAAACAATTCAATGTAATTATTTACTTCAGGGCAATTACAATGACACTTTGTGTTCCCTGCAGTGTCAGCTTTACAGAAACTCTGGAAAATAGTTTGCTGCCTAAAGCGTTCATTACCTACAAACATTTTTCAGTGCTTCCAGAGCATTCCACTTCAAAAGAGAATTTGTGTTATGCTGACCTGGAAGAAACAACTCACTAGGGATTGATGAGCATGTTTGAATTGGGTTGTGGCGAATAGTTCGCAATAAAATCAAACAATTCAATGTAAAACTAGTCTAGTGTGTGAAACTCTTCCAGAGCATTCCAAACATTTTCAAATTTGTGTTAGCTGCAACGACAGTTCAATGTGTATGGGTTTGAATTGGGCAACACAAATGACATGAAGTTAAAGTGACCTGGCAAGATCAATGAGTATCCCAGCAGCTCAAACGGCTCCTTTTCAGTTCAGAAGTACTTGATACAAAAGTATGGCAGTGCCTTTTTGAGCCTTCTAGAGAAATTATGTTGCACCGAATAAGGCCCAGCCCATTGGTGGTTACTGAAGTTCGCCTGCAATAATCCATTGTAGCTCAAACAATTCAATGTAATTATTTACTTGATAGGGCAATTACAAAGTCATATTTGTGTTCCCTCGGCAGTGTCAGCTTTACAGAAACTCTGGAAAATAGTTTGCCTTTAAGCGTTCATTACCTACAAACATTTTCAGTGAGGAGAATTTGTCTTAGTGACCTGAAGAAACAACTTCTTTTGTGAGCATGTTTGAATTGGGCTTGAAGTACAAATCCTATTCAAACTAGTCTATTGTGCTTCCAGAGCATTCCACTTCAAAAGCAACGACAGTTCAATGTGTATGGGTATGACATGAATAAAGTGACCTGGCAAGATCAATGGCAGCTCAAACGGCTCCGTCTCAGTTCAGAAGTACTTGATAAAAACTATGGCAGTGCCTTAGTGAGCCTTCTAGAGAAATTATGTTGTGGCCGAATCAAGGCCCACCTTTACTGAAGTTCGCAATAATCCATTGTAGCTCAAACAATTCAATGTAATTATTTACTTCAGGGCAATTACAATGACACTTTTGTGTTCCCTGCAGTGTCAGCTTTACAGAAACTCTGAAAATAGTTTGCTGCCTAAAGCGTTCATTACCTACAAACATTTTCAGTGAGGAGAATTTGTGTTAGCTGACCTGAAGAAACAACTTCACTAGGGATTGTGAGCATGTTTGAGAGATAAAACAACACAAATGTGGCCAGAAAAGTCCTACCTTTACAGAGGTGCGTGACAAACGATTCCAGCTCAAGCCAAATCTTTTCATCCATGTCTTGTTTAAGATTTGCTCGGTCCTGTCTGACTGTGTGCTTCCAACAGTTCCTCGTTAGTATAGTGGTGAGTATCCGCCTGTCACAGAAATGTCCGGAGACCGGGGTTCAATTCCCCGCTTCCCAACAGCCTGTTAGTATAGTGGGGAGGTTGCTGCCTTTTGCAAGCCTTAACTCAGAATGCCTGCTTCAGTCTAGTATGTGTCTTTTCATTTTGACAGCATCTGCCGAGGATTTTCCGTAAACGCACCGTTTTGCCAACTCGCGCATTGGTGGTTCAGTGGTAGAATTCTCGCCTGCCACGCTTGGGAGGCCGGGTTCGATTCGGCCAATGCAATGGACAACAGACTATTTTACTGAGATAATTTGGATTGTTTTTGATACGTGGAAAGTAAAACAAAGTCATATTTGAGTCAATAGGCAGTTTAAACATTTACAGTACACAGAATTTAAAAATGGCCTTTAACTGCCTCAAATTGAAATGGAATATAAGGCAAAAGATCCTTTGGGTCTGGCAGTGAAACGCAACGTGGCATAAAGCATTATCTTTTGTGACATGTGTTGATCAATTGGGCTTGAAGTACAAATCCTATTCAAACTAGTCTATTGTGCTTCCAGAGCATTCCACTTCAAAAGCAACGACAGTTCAATGTGTATATGGGTATGACATGAATAAAGTGACCTGGCAAGATCAATGGCAGCTCAAACGGCTCCGTCTCAGTTCAGAAGTACTTGATACAAAACTATGGCAGTGCCTTAGTGAGCCTTCTAGAGAAATTATGTTGTGGCTCAAACAATTCAATGTAAATAAGGCAATTACAATGACACCTGCAGTTCACTTTGAAACTCTGGAAAATAGTTTGCTTCGCAATAATCCAATTTGTGTTTGACCTGAAGAAGCTCAAACAATTCAATGTCATTATTTACTTCAATGTGTGTATGGGCAATTATCAATGACACTTCTCAGTTGTGTTCCCTGAGCAGTGTCAGCTTTACAGCTCAAAAACTCTCAGGGAAAATAGTTTGCTGCCTAAAGCGTTCATTACCTACAAACATTTTCAGTGAGGAGAATTTGTGTTAGCTGACCTGAAGAAACAACTTCACTAGGGATTGTGAGCATGTTTGAGAGATAAAAACAACACAAATGTGGCCAGAAAAAAGTCCTACCTTTACAGAGGTGCGTGACAAACGATTCCAGCTCAAGCCAAATCTTTTCATCCATGTCTTGTTTAAGATTTGCTCGGTCCTGTCTGACTGTGTGCTTCCAACAGTTCCTCGTTAGTATAGTGGTGAGTATCCCCGCCTGTCACGCGGAGACCGGGGGTTCAATTCCCGACGGGGGAGGTTGCTGTCTTTTGCAAGCCTTAACTCAAGAATGCCTGCTTCAGTCTAGTATGTGTCTTTTCATTTTGACAGCATCTGCCGAGGATTTTCCGTAAACGCACCGTTTCTTGCCAACTCGCGCATTGGTGGTTCAGTGGTAGAATTCTCGCCTGCCACGCCTGGGAGGCCGGGTTCGATTCTGGCCAATGCAATGGACAACAGACTATTTTACTGAGATAATTTGGATTGTTTTTGATACGTGGAAAGCAAAACAAAGTCATATTTGAGTCAATGGAATATAAGGCAAAAGAGTCTTAAACATTTGACATGTGTTGATCAACACAGAATTTAAAAAGTCTATTGTGCTTTTAACTGCCTCAAATTGAAATGTATGACATGAATAAAGTGAAGGCAAAAGCTCAAAACGGCTCGTCTCTTTGGGTCTGGCAGTGAAACGCAACGTGCATAAAGCATTATCTTTTATTCAAACTGACATGTGTTGATCAATTGGGCTTGAAGTACAAATCCTATTCAAACTAGTCTATTGTGCTTCCAGAGCATTCCACTTCAAAAGCAACGACAGTTCAATGTGTATGGGTATGACATGAATAAAGTGACCTGGCAAGATCAATGGCAGCTCAAACGGCTCCGTCTCAGTTCAGAAGTACTTGATACAAAACTATGGCAGTGCCTTAGTGAGCCTTCTAGAGAAATTATGTTGTGGCCGAATAAGGCCCACCTTTACTGAAGTTCGCAATAATCCATTGTAGCTCAAACAATTCAATGTAATTATTTACTTCAGGGCAATTACAATGACACTTTTGTGTTCCCTGCAGTGTCAGCTTTACAGAAACTCTGGAAAATAGTTTGCTGCCTAAAGCGTTCATTACCTACAAACATTTTCAGTGAGGAGAATTTGTGTTAGCTGACCTGAAGAAACAACTTCACTAGGGATTGTGAGCATGTTTGAGAGATAAAAACAACACAAATGTGGCCAGAAAAGTCCTACCTTTACAGAGGTGCGTGACAAACGATTCCAGCTCAGCCAAATCTTTTCATCCATGTCTTGTTTAAGATTTGCTATGGTCCTGTCTGACTGTGCTTCCAACAGTTCCTCGTTAGTATAGTGGTGAGTATCCCCGCCTGTCACCGTAGACCGGGGGTTCAATTCCCCGACGGGAGGTTGCTGCCTTTGCAAGCCTTAACTCAGAATGCCTGCTTCAGTCTAGTATGTGTCTTTTCATTTTTGACAGCATCTGCCGAGGATTTTCCGTAAGCACCGTTTCTTGCCAGCTCGTGCATTGGTGGTTCAGTGGTAGAATTCTCGCCTGCCACGGGAGGCCCGGGTTCGATTCCGGCCAATGCAATGGACAACAGACTATTTTACTGAGATAATTTGGATTGTTTTTGATACGTGGAAAGTAAAACAAAGTCATATTTGAGTCAATAGGCAGTTTAAACATTTACAGTACACAGAATTTAAAAATGGCCTTTAACTGCCTCAAATTGAAATGGAATATAAGGCAAAAGATCCTTTGGGTCTGGCGGTGAAAAACAACGTGGCATAAAGCATTATCTTTTGTGACATGTGTTGATCAATTGGGCTTGAAGTACAAATCCTATTCAAACTAGTCTATTGTGCTTCCAGAGCATTCCACTTCAAAAGCAACGACAGTTCAATGTGTATGGGTATGACATGAATAAAGTGACCTGGCAAGATCAATGGCAGCTCAAACGGCTCCGTCTCAGTTCAGAAGTACTTGATACAAAACTATGGCAGTGCCTCCTTAGTGAGCCTTCTAGAGAAATTATGTTGTGGCCGAATAAGGCCCACCTTTACTGAAGTTCGCAATAATCCATTGTAGCTCAAACAATTCAATGTAATTATTTACTTCAGGGCAATTACAATGACACTTTGTGTTCCCTGCAGTGTCAGCTTTACAGAAACTCTGGAAAATAGTTTTGCTGTTCATACCTACAAACATTTTCAGTGAGGAGAAAGCTGACCTGAAGAAACAACTTCATTACCTACAAACATTTTCAGCTTCCAGAGGAGAAGTTTGTGTTTTGCTGACCTGAAGAAACAACTTCACTAGGATTGTGAGCATGTTTGAGATAAAAACAACACAAATGTGGCCAGAAAAGTCCTACCTTTACAGAATGCCTGTGCGTGATGGTGTTTTCATTTTTGACAGATCTTGAGGCCAGCTCAGAGGTGCCAAACGATTCCATCTTTTCATCCATGTCTTGTTTAAGATTTGCTCGGTCCTGTCTGACTGTGTGCTTCCAACAGTTCCTCGTTAGTATAGTGGTGAGTATCCGCCTGTCACGCGGGAGACCGGGTTCAATTCCCCGACGGGGAGGTTGCTGCCTTTTGCAAGCCTTAACTCAGAATGCCTGCTTCAGTCTAGTATGTGTCTTTTCATTTTTGACAGCATCTGCCGAGGATTTTAACGAAACGCACCGTTCTTGCCAGCTCGCGCATTGGTGGTTCAGTGGTAGAATTCTCGCCTGCCATGCGGGAGGCCGGGTTCGATTCGGCCAATGCAATGGACAACAGACTATTTTACTGAGATAATTTGGATTGTTTTTGATACGTGGAAAGTAAAACAAAGTCATATTTGAGTCAATAGGCAGTTTAAACATTTACAGTACACAGAATTTAAAAATGGCCTTTAACTGCCTCAAATTGAAATGGAATATAAGGCAAAAGATCCTTTGGGTCTGGCAGTGAAGCATACGTGGCATAAAGCATTATCTTTTGTGACATGTGTTGATCAATTGGGCTTGAAGTACAAATCCCTATTCAAACTAGTCTAGTGTGCTTCCAGAGCATTCCACTTCAAAAAGCAACGACAGTTCAATGTGTATGGGTATGACATGAATAAAGTGACCTGGCAAGATCAATGGCAGCTCAAACGGCTCCGTCTCAGTTCAGAAGTACTTGATACAAAACTATGGCAGTGCCTTTGTGAGCCTTCTAGAGAAATTATGTTGTGGCCGAATAAGGCCCACCTTTACTGAAGTTCGCAATAATCCATTGTAGCTCAAACAATTCAATGTAATTATTTACTTCCAGGGCAATTACAATGACACTTTTGTGTTCCCTGCAGTGTCAGCTTTACAGAAACTCTGGAAAATAGTTTGCTGCCTAAAGCGTTCATTACCTACAAACATTTTCAGTGAGGAGAATTTGTGTTAGCTGACCTGAAGAAACAACTTCACTAGGGATTGTGAGCATGTTTGAGATAAAAACAACACAAATGTGGCCAGAAAAGTCCTGCCTTTACAGAGGCTGACAAACGATTCCAGCTCAAGCTTTTCATCCATGTCTTGAGATTTGCCGGTCCTGTCTGACTGTGTGCTTCCAACAGCTCAATGTGTATAGTGGTGAGTATCCCCGCATGAATAACGGAGACCTGGGAGTTCAATTCAGCTCAAACGGCTCCGTCTCTTTTCAAGCCCTTTTACTCAGAATGCTATGGCAGTCTTAGTGTCTTTTCTTTTTGACAGCATCTGTTGAGGATTTTCCGTAAACGCCCCGTTTCTTGCCAGCTTCGCAATGGTGGTTCAGTAGTAGAATTCTCGCCTGCCAAGGCGGGAGGCCGGGTTCGATTCGGCCAATGCAATGACAGACTATTTTACTGAGATAATTTGGATTTTTTTGATACGTGGAAAGTAAAACAAAGTTATTTGAGTCAATGGGCAGTTTAAACATTTACTGTACACAGAATTTAAAAAATGGCCAGCCTCAAATTGAAATGGAGGAATTTCCTTTGGGTCTGGCACTGAAGAAACAACGTGGCATAAAGGCATTATCTTTTGTGACATGTGTTGATCAATTGGGCTTGAAGTACAAATCCTATTCAAACTAGTCTATTGTGCTTCCAGAGCATTCCACTTCAAAAGCAACGACAGTTCAATGTGTATGGGTATGACATGAATAAAGTGACCTGGCAAGATCAATGGCAGCTCAAACGGCTCCGTCTCAGTTCAGAAGTACTTGATACAAAACTATGGCAGTGCCTTAGTGAGCCTTCTAGAGAAATTATGTTGTGGCCGAATAAGGCCCACCTTTACTGAAGTTCGCAATAATCCATTGTAGCTCAAACAATTCAATGTAATTATTTTGCTTCAGGGCAATTAATGACACTTTTGTGTTCCCTGCAGTGTCAGCTTTACAGAAACTCTGGAAAATAGTTTGCTGCCTAAAGCGTTCATTACCTACAAACATTTTCAGTGAGGAGAATTTGTGTTAGCTGACCTGAAGAAACAACCACTGGGATTGTAGGCATGTTTGAATTGGGCTTGAAGTACAAATCCCTATTCAACTAGTCTATTGTGCTTCCAGAGCATTCCACTTCAAAAGCAACGACAGTTCAATGTATGGGTATGACATGAATAAAGTGACCTGGCAAGATCAATGGCAGCTCAAACGGCTCCGTCTCAGTTCAGAAGTACTTGATACAAAACTATGGCAGTGCCTTGGTAGGCCTTCTAAGAGGAAATTATGTTGTGGCCGAATAAGGCCCACCTTTACTGAAGTTCGCAATAATCATTACAGCTCAAACAATTCAATGTAATTATTTACTTCAGGGGCAATTACAATAACCTTTGCTGTGTTCCTGCAGTGTCAGCTTTACGAAACTCTGAAATGGTTGCTGCCTAAGCGTTCATTACAGGCATTTTCAGTGAGTGTGTTGTAGCCTGAAACTTCACTAGAGGATTGAGCATGTTTGAATTGAGCAACAAATCTATTAAAACAGTCATTAATAACTTCCGAAACATTCCACTTCAAAAGAAGCACAGCGACAATTCAATGTGCGGTATGACATGAATAAATGACCTGCAAGATCAATGGCAGCTCAAGCAGCTCGTCTCAGTTCAAGTACTTGATGCAAGGCTATGGCAGTGCCTTGGTGAGCCTTCTAGAGGGTATGTTGTGGCATTAGCTGCTGAGTTCGCAATGTCCATTGTAGCTCAGGCAATTCAATGTAATCTTCAGGAGCAGTAATGTACTTTGTGTTCCCTGCAGTGTCAGCTTTACGAAACTCTGGAGAAAATAATTTGCTGCCTAAGCGTTCATTACCTACAGAGCATTTTCAGTGAGGTATGTTAGCCCCGACTGAAGAAACAACTTCACTAAGGGATTGTGAGCATATTTGAGATAAAACAATTGCAAATAATGATCTACCTTACAGTGCGTGACGATTTATCAAGCCAAATTGTGGCTAGTTTGCTGGTCTGTCTGTTTCATGTGCTTTCAACAGTTCTAATTAAATATAATTGTTGAAATATCCCACTTACTGTCGGTGGGCCGAGGTTCAATTCCCGGCCGAGGGAAGGTTGCTGAAGCGCTGCTCAGGGTGCCTGCTTCAGTCTGGTATAATGACTCTTTCGACGACAGCATCTGCCGAGGGAGTTTCGTGGCTTTGCCGTTTCTTGCCAACTGGCATTATTGACGTGGCTCAGGCCTCTCTGCCATTCGGAGGTTCCAGTGACTCTGGCCAACAGACTGACACTGAGATAATTTAGTTATTTTGATACGTGGAAAGTAAAACAGAAATCATATTTGAGTCAGTAGGCAGTTAAACATTTACAACAGGAGCCCAAAAATGGCAACTTTCTACTCAAATTGAAATGGAATATAAAACAAAAGATCCTTTAGATCTGGCAGTGAAGGCACTAGTGGCATAAAGCTTGATTATCTTTTGTGACATGTGTTGATCAATTGGGCTTGAGTGCAGATCCTATTCAAACTAGTCTGTGTGCTTCCCAGGCGCATTCCACTTCACGCGACACGGTTCAATATATATGGTGCTGAGCATGAATGAAGTGACCTGGCAAGATCAATGGCAGCTCAAGCGGCTCCGTCTCAGTTCAGAGTACTGATACAAGACTATGGCGGTGTAGTGAGCCTTCTGGAAAGTATGTTGTGGCCGAATGAAGACCACCACCTTACTTTAAAGTTAGCAGCAATCCATTGTAACTCAAACAATTCAATGTAATTATTTACTTCAGGACATTATTGACTTTTTGTGTTCCTGCCGATGTCAGCTTTGCAGAGGCTCTGGAGAATAGTTTGCTGCCTAACGCTCATTTACAGGCATTTTCAGTGAGAGGAATTTATGTTAACTGACCTGAAACAGCTCGCAGGATTGTGAGCATGTTTGAATTGAGGCA